GCGTCGAACAGCCACAAGAAGCGCAAAGTCAATGCGATCGGCGAAGGATCTGGGCAACATGATTCGCAGAAGGTATTGAAATTTTTTTTTTCATTTTTGGGGCTTTGAGTAGAATAAAAAAAAAGGCCTTTTTTTTGCTTCTGAGTTTCGATTTTCGCGGCTTGAAAGCGCCAAATCCTTTTTGATTTGATTTGATTTTTCTTTTTCCTTTTTCCTTTTTATTTTTTTTGGTGGATGACATTACGTTGACATTATTTGAAAATTCCTAGGATTTCGCACGTTTTGAACCATGTTTTTTTTTCCTCATCGTCTAGAATTTCAGTAAATGGGTTGACTTGGTCCGTCTTTTGGAATTTCATATTGAATTCTGCTGGAGCAAATATACTTTTCAATTTTTTTATTTCGAATTTATGTATTTTTCAACTCATTAGCATTAATCTGTCTCTCTTTTTTGGCTTACCGAGCTAATAATGATTTTACTGTCATTTCTTCTAAAAAGTTCAAATTTGTCTTTTCTCTTTTTTTTTTTTCTTAAACAATTATTATTTCACAGTTTGCAACTGTGTTTCCCTTTTTGGCACTTTGAATGCCTGTCTACTTAGCTTTTCACAGCAACTTTGCTCGTGCCAAAGGTTCCTCGCCCATACAGAAATAAATATGTATATTTATTTGCTTGTTGGTTTTTCTTTTTTTTATTTTTATTTTTTTCAGGGTGACAAGTCCATTTCTGGGAAAATTCTATCAAACACCTTTCAAGGTTTGTTCATGGTTTCTGATCCCCCACTGATGAAACAAATCACTTTCTGATTTTGAACTTATAATGGCTTGACATTGTCTTTAAGTTCATTATGGTTTGTGTACAGGAACGACAAAGTTGGATTCGGGACCCTTAACGCCTTTACCCGATAAAAAGCTGTTACTGTTCATCATTGATAGGCTCCAAAAGTGTGTTCTTTTTAGTTTCTTGGCTTGCGACTTTGATCTCTATGGTGTGTAGCTTTTGTATGTCAAGTCTGATGAAGTATTTTATTGTAATTTCAGGAAGGACACCTATGGTGTGTTCTCTGAACCGGTGGACCCAGAAGAGGTTAGTTTTTTACGTTGATGACGCATCAACTTCCAAGACTTAAAAGGTGTTTAATTTGTTTAAAATTGAATTTGTTTGTTGTATAATGCAGCTTCCAGACTATCATGAAGTCATAGAGCATCCTATGGATTTTTCGACTGTGAGGAAGAAGCTTTCTGGCGGGGCTTATGCCAACCTGGAACAGTTCGAGGTTGGTTTACCATTCTGTGGTTTTCATCTTCTTTACACTTTCTTCTCTTGCATTCTCCGATTTCGTATATGAAGATTCGTATAATTACTGAAATCAGCATGTCGTTGGATCTTCATATAAAGTTCATATGTTTCTACCATGCTGACCAAATGACCAAACGGTTTGGAGGTGGAGTTAGGATTTTGTCTTCCTCTTCAAATATTGTGCCGTCTATCTTATTGTAGTGCCCGCCACTAAATCTGTCATGGATGCCATAGTTAATGTTTCTGACATCACATTCTTTGAGCGGATTGTATGAGCATTCATTTGTGTTTTTGATTGATCTAGCTACTGGATTGCTTTGGGAAGATTGCCAACATTAATTTTAATTGTTTGTCTTTGTTTGTGTCGATGAAGGCGGGCCTTGGCACCGTGGTGGGAGCGCTTGCGTTTGCACCTGGGGTCCAGGGTTCGAATCCCGGAAACGGCCTCTCCTTCGGGGGGTAAGGGCTGCGTATATATGGGATTGAGCTTTCCCCCGAGCCTGTCATAGTACGGAAGCCTCTTTGGCACTAGGGTCCGCCTTTTAGTACGGGAGCCTCTTTGGCACTGGGGTCCGCCTTTTTTAGTCTTTGTACGTGTCGATCAAAATCTACTTCAAAGTGTTAAAAATAACAAACTTTGAGACAGAAATATTTGGCTTTTTTATATGACTATCTTGATACTGTGAGTCTGTGACATTGTCTTGCTAGTTGTTCTGTTTGTAGTGGCTTGTTGAAAGTATCCAAACTAGTAGTTTTATAATTCTTACGTGTAGCTATGGCTTGTCTTCTTGATCAAGACTTTTCACTTCTCTTAATCGGCGCATTTTCAGTTTTGTATCATGCCGTTTTAGGTTTAGTTAGGTGGAAAGGCTGTAACAAGTGAACTTAAAGCACTCAACTTTAGTGAGTTAAATGTTTTTTTAATAGTTTTTATCCAGTCAATTTACCAATTTTGTGGATCATTTTGGGGGAGGAAACAAAAAAGAGAAGAAAAGGACCAAAACTATGATATTTGATTTGGCTGACATGATTTGGGAATGCTAAGCGAGGGTGTTCAGTTATTTGTGTGTATGTGCGTGTCAAATATGTAATTGTTTGTTACCATTAGCTTAGGTCTTATGATGTTGGTCTTACAATTTCACCATCTTCATCATTTGCTTGTCTGGGGTGATGGTAAATTTTTATACTGGCATATATAAGACTTCAAATTTGTTGTGATATATATGATCTTTTCTCTTTCTTCTTTCTTTGGGCGTTGCCAGTTGTGCATGTTGTTTGCTTGAGATTATATTGCTGTTCCCTACATATAATGGCTTGACGGTAGACATAATGGTTATTTTGTTTCCAAATTTTAAAATCTTGAAAAGAGCTGATGTAAACCGCATTAGCCATTGGCTAAGTGAATGATTCTTAAATGCTATTTCTCCTTCATCAAGATTTTCTATGAGCTTTGGGTGGATGAGAATTGATGTTTGATTTTATCATTTGCAGAAAGATGTTTTCTTAATCTGCACAAATGCAATGCAGTATAATGCCCCAGATACAATATATTTTCGACAGGTCCAGTCAAATCTCAACTTTTGTCTATTGCCCTTTCATCTATTTTCTGTATGTTTCTCAAATTTTTGTAATTTCTTGCCAGGCACGCTCCATACAAGAGCTGGCAAAAAAGGACTTTGAAAATTTGAGGCAAGACAGTGATGATAATGAACCA